CAAACCAATCTCTCTTTGAACTGCCAATTAGAGGGATTTAGTACACCAAGGAATACAAACTGAGGCATGGAAGCCTATTTCCTTAGCTGCTATGAGTCTTGTACAGTTCCCCTTCAACTCTCTTGTGTGTAGAGAAAGAAATATATATGCCTAGGGCTGCAGGGTGATCAATAATCTACCAGGTGACCACAGGTGCTCTTTTACCATGTGATTTTCCTAGGGAAGATCTTTAGATCATAGAAAAATAAAAGAAGAATAACCTGAACACCTGCTCGATTGAGAAAGAAGTAGAAAAAAGGAGAAAACAAAGAACAGAAGAGAATAGGGTTTCATCAGTTTTAAGAAGTTTTGGGGGACTGAATTTGAAATCAATGCCCTTGAAGAGCTAAGATATTTCTTTGGGATTGAGGTAGCTAGATCCCATCATGGTATTTATATCTCCCAACATAAATATATTCTTGACATTTTTGGAGATACAGGGAAACTAGAGTGAAACCAGTAGATACTCCTTTTGATCCTAATCATAGGACCAATGCTACTGAGGAGGAGCTTCTTGAGGACAGAGGTATGTATTAACAGCTGGTTGGTAGACTCTTGTATTTGTGCATGTTTTCACCTGATATATCATATTCAATGTGTGTGGTGAGCTAGTATATGCATTCTCCACGCACTACCCATTTAGTAATTGTATACAGAATTCTTGCTTATCTGAAGGGAGGCCCTAGGAAGGGAATTTTATTCCCCAAGCATGATCAGTTGAAGATAGAAGTATTTACTAATGTAGACTAGGCAAGTTCTCTCAATGATAGGAGATACCTAGGGCTTCTATGCATTTTTAGGTGGGAATCTAGTGCTTGGAAGAGCAAGAAGCAATTGGTTGTTGCTTGTTCAAGTGTAGAGGCTGAATAGATCCATGGTGTATGTACTCTCAGAGGCTCTTTGGCTAAGGTCTTTCCTTAGGGAGTTGGGATTCAATTGGAGATGCCACTAGTGCTATATTGCAACAACAAGGCTGCTATTAACATTGCTGATAATCAAGTTCAGCACAATCACACCAAATACACTGAGGTGGATAGTTTGTTAGGGAGAAGGTGTTATTAAGCAAGGTTTGTCTACCTTATGTGTAGACTGATCAACAACTAGTAGAGGTGTTTACCAAAGGAATCTCTCGGCTGAAGTTACAGATACACTTGACATTTGACAAGTTAGGAATGCTTGACATCTACTTCCAACTTGACAGGGGCTGTTGACAGGCCAGGTTTTTTTTATTCTTTATTTTTTTTTCTGTTATATATGGGCTGATCATGTTATTGGGCTCATGGGCGATTTATTTTATTTGGTTATTTTCGCTCATTAAGGGCACAAGTGCAATTTAATCTTTTATTTTCTTAATATCAGTGTTTTAAGACTCAGACCAGACAGGACAGATGGACCAGTAAACCCAGGAATGGGAAGAGATTCCATTTTTTTAGAACCTTGGTTTTCATTTTTCTGAAAATCCGGTAGAATTGGTGAAAACCTGGTAGAACCGTTGAAAACTGGCCAGGTTTCAATGACCCAGCCAGTTTTCACATCCTGCCCGGGTCACTGAAGTGTTACAAATTTTAAAATGGTGGTAAGAAGATTCGAACCTGGGTTCTCTTAATTATGTGTATCAACATCAAACCATCAACCCGTCATGTTTTCTGTACTTACCGTTGCCTCTTTTAATACATATGCTAATTAAATATGTACATATTCTGAAAAAAATGCTAGTTGAAAGATTTGAACCCTGGTTATTTATATCAAAAAACAATAATTTGGCCATCTAGCCGCCACTTACAAGTATTTTAGGTTACAAAATTTATTACATATGGCTTTTATGTGACTTGCAGTCAAACCTTCTGGCCCATTGTCAAACTGTTTGACCCGTGGCCCAGTATGCATTCTGGCCTTGTGTTGGGTCCGAGTCTTAAAAACACTGCTTAATATAGAAGGTGGTGGTGGACCTTAGAACCCCATAATCTGCTTGTGCATTCATCCCTTTCTTTTCTTTTCTTCTCTCTTCCTCCATTCTTCCTCCCTTCATCGGTTCTTGCCTTAGATTTCTTTTCTTTTCTCTTTCACATTCAGACCTAAGTAGTAGTTACTATTTAGTGAAAAAAATAGTATTTAGTGTGAAACTAGCCTACTTGTACTAACCAAAAAAATTTGACAGACTGAAAAATTAAGAAAAACAAATAAACAAGAGAAGAATAAACAAACTGGAAACCTTGACCCTTTTCCTGATTAAGTTTAAAGGTAATGGACTGATGGAGGGTGAACTGGAGGACTCATCTGTATCACCTGAGTTTTCAGTGGAAGATAAAGATCCAAACCAAGATCATATGGAAGGATATAGATCCAAATCATTTTTGAACCCACATCAATAGGGATATGGATCTAATGTAACTTGTACCATCTACCTCTTCTTTTAATCAATTAATAGAGATTGGTTATTGCTGATTAAAAAAAAAAAAACTTTAACTTAGAGTAGTACATCATTTTCACCTAGGCTCAGTTTGGGAAGAGTACAAATACAAATATATACAGTGCAAATAGAAGGTTTAGAAATACAATATACAAGGTGCTGCATTCTACATATTTGTATTTGTACTCTTCCCAAACTGAGCCTTAATAGCAATATTTTTTATAATCCCCCTCAAGCCCCCAAAAGACCCTATAATAGTTCTCAGCCATTTCAAAACTGTTTTTTTTTTAATTAAATTAAAATTTTATTAAGAGAAAGAGCAATTCAGATACAAGCTTCCCATGGAGAGGCATGAACCACGTCCTCTCCCAACAACAAGAAGAAAACAGAAAACAGAATCAAACTACAATTGAGCCCAATTCAATTCTTCCCTGTTTGCCCCGTGCTTTTCTAGACAATCAGCCAAAGCATTTGCTGATTTCTCCACCCATTGTAGTCTTATAGTCAAGCTCCTTGTCAGCCTCTTTAATTTTTTTAACTTCATTCTTAAAGCACCAAACTATAGACTTAGGATTCTGTAGCCATCCCACTACCACCTTGGAATCCCCTTCAATTAGCAGCTCTTCCATACCTAGCTGAACTGCAAAATGTACACCTTGGATGGCAGCTACCAATTCCGTCCTAGTAGAGTTCCCAACTCCTAGAGGACCCGAGTAAAGGAGAACCACATTACCAGTCTCATTCCTCAGAACCCCTCCCATCCCAGTGGGGCCTGGATTACCTTGACTTCTGCCATCAAAATTCAGCCATTTCCAAACTGTTGTGACTAGGATTAGTGCCTCAGACCTGAAACTTGGCCTATCAAGCAACATTGGCTGTGCCTGTGCCTTTTTAAGCTCACTACCCTAATGGCCTGAGTTGTTTGCCTCCCTAAAGAAAAATGGTAATACCAACCATCAAGCGTAGCCCCTTGTGACCCTAACCAGTCCCACACTCAAGCTACTTCTCCAGATGAATCTTACAACCGTTAAAAGACATTCAACCATGTCTAAGGGTTTCCAAAGCAGCGGCTTCTGAGGAGAAGATGAAAAAGAAAAGTTCCATGTTTCAGGAGCCTAGCATTGGAGTTAGAGAAGCACAGCCATCCTGTCAAAACCAATCTCTCAATCTCCAAAGACTCTGGAGAAAGGTTCTTGCAATTTCCCACACTAAACATTTACAGAGGAACACTACTTCTTTGTTGGCAACTACAATTCTGTTCGGTGGACCCAAGTCACCCAACCACACAAACAAGATGCTGTACCTTGATAGATTTCTTCAGTGCTCAAGGGGGTAAAGTTTTGCACATGGAATCGACCAGTCAGATGCATCCAATATTGACTAACAGTGTTCAATAACGGCCAAAACTTTTTTTTTGGTTTGTTGCAGGAAGAATTCATTGAGAATTATTTGTTTAAGTCTTCAGTTTAGATCCTTCGATCTTCTGAACCAAGCACATTGGCCCCTAATATGTACGTATAAATGTAATTGCATGCTTATTCATTTTTTTTTCAACTCAGAAAAAACCTTGTTCCAATCATATTAGATTGACTAGAAAATCCAATATCCAGGGCCATATTCCTTGCATGTGAATCCTCGTGTCTTTTCTCAGTCTCATGCATTCCCTTTCTGACCTTCCTGTAACTCATCTATACCTGTCAGTATATTTGTCATGTTAACATGTCTGGTATGCTAGAAATCTAGAAAGTAAGTTTCTCCTGTATCAAATTGTAGTTAACTCTTGAAGAATGTTGCTCACTGCAGTTTGAGGATTCCTACACTGACACTGCACTTCTGCAAACCTGGGCAATATATATACAGGTCATGGAATGTGTAATATTAATGCGTAACATCTCCATAGTCAATAAAAACTTGCTCTTATAATTTATTTGGTCACTGTCATAGAGAGCTTGTGTCAGGTTACATTTGAGGATATAAATTAAAAAAAAATACATATAAAATTGATGAAACAATATTCAGATTTGAATAATGAAAGAATCCTCAAAGATTACAAACGAATGGGTTCACAGAATGTCAACTGATATATGAAACCATTTGATGAATGTTTTGTGCCTTAGTCTCACAGAACAATCTGGGTCTCAAGCCAACAATGCTAAGAAAAGTGGAATGCTGCTGGAGTAGGTATATCCAAAGCTCCAAAATAATGTAAAATCAGATGGTTTAAGATTCTTTGGTTCATGATGATTTCTGGTGTAGGCATTCTCTTAGGTGGGACTTGCTGAATGGCACACCTGATCCTTTGACAAAAGTTGTTAGTGCCCCAGACCACAACTGCCTATATATGTTGATTGTAATCATTTTTATATATTTTTAGTTGAGCATAAATTTTGCCAATACATTACTCGTTTTCCTGAGCAAATGTTGGCATTTCACTTTGAAAATATTAATAGAAAAGGCCAAAAGAGCAAGACTCCAACACATGTACGTTGGAAGGATAAACATTCTTTTACAAGAAATCTGGTAACCAAGATCCTTTTGCCTGCCTGTGCAGGAAGAGGTGGATCCATTCAACAGGCATGGTCAGCAAGAATTTTTGGCAAGTTCTGATTATCTCTCAAGTTATAGATTGAACAAAGTGATTGTAAATATGCAGATGGCTGCTGTAGATGTTCTTAAAGGGTGAGCTGTTCATACAAACTCCTTCCACTCTGAATAGGTTTTCATAGGCTTATCACCAAGACCACTTTCACCATCCAATAATACATAGCAGTCAATGTGTAGATTCTGTAGAAGTAACCTTCCCTACTAGTTTCCATCTTTTGGTAGATACTATAGGATCCTTTGTGCTGCCATGGAATTCCAAAACTCTAGGTAATGGCTTAGAAATGGCATGTTCTTTATTGACAGCTTTACTTGAATCCTTGTGATCACAGTAGAGCTTTTCATTGGGCATTGCAATTAGGGTTGTTAATGGGTTGGGTTGACATGAAACTATTGGGTTAGGGTCATGTTATCCTTAATCAGGTCAGATCAGGTTGAGGTGGACCTGTGCCAATGCTTGTATGCACAACCTTGGTTGAAAATAGATGTTCTATATGTGAGACGGGTCATATCAAGCTTGGTATTGCATCTTTGTTCAGCTGGGTCTGGTTCAGTTGTACCAAACTCATGCCAAACTTGACATTGACATCTTTGTTCATCTTCATGTGCAGGAAGCAGCTGAGAGATCCCTTCAACACTATGCTACTTCATGATACCATCATACAGATACTGGACATGTTCATGAGCATGAATGGCCCTAATCACTGGGTAACCTATTTGGTTCCTGAAAATGCCATATCATACAATCATCAAAGAGCTACATCCCCCAATGATCTGCTTCCTGATCTTACCAAGCTTGACCAACTAATGGCAGAGACACGTGCTGTATTATTGAGGTTAGTTTAACACGGACGTCTCACTTCAGCCCATTATTGCTACATGCGAATATATGTAAATAGATTGATCATTTGTTTTTTTTTTTTTGGCAGCTCTGATTTTGGAAACGTTGTGAAGATTTCACTGAGTGCAGTGGTGGATGCTCTGATGGAGGAAATCGGAGTTGAGTCCAGCGGGGGCAGTTCTCCATCAGGAATTCCACTGGCCAAGCTTTTGCCACGAGTTGCACAGATGGGCCCACTACTACTTGAGGAACCTAGCAGTAATAGGTTCATTCAGATCATCCGGAAATTACCTGAAGTTGAACTCTTCTATACTATTCTCTATGCAAATACACCATCCTTGTAGACTATGAAAAACAAGATGTCGAAAGAACAAATGAAGTTAAAGAAACATAGGGTGTGGTTTCATGTCAATTTTTAATTTTATTATAATTTGGACAATTTTGTTGAATTGGGTTGAGGTGGGGGAGATACATAAGAAGAAAACTACAGATTATTCTGTGACAGCATTGTCATTTCGTTCTCAATTTTTCTGCAATCAATGAGCTTTTCATTCTCTCTCTCTCATACACACACAGAAATTGTTGAGGTGTAAGCCTCAACAGCGTAAGTTTTAGGAAAAAAAAAAAGAAAAAAAGTACTGATATACATTATATGGACAAATTTTGATGAAAAATATCACTAGATTTCTTTTCGATCCCAAAATCTAATTTTAATTGACCAAAATATCCCCTCCCTTTTATTGTTTTAATTGGGTAGAAAAGATTATGATTGTAAAATAAAATTTTAAAAAGATCATAATAAAAAGAATATAAACTAATAAAAATTAAATATGTAAACTGGCTACGAAAGAAATAGATTGCATCTAAATAATGTATAAGGAAATTATAAATAAATACAATATAATAAGTTGGGCATAACCTGAGCCCAAGCTATAGTCATATATAATATTTTATGTTACATAAAATATAAAATAAATGTTACACAAATATTATTTATTATATATTATACATATTTAATGTTTGATACTATATATTTATGTTCAATGTTTAAAATTATAGGCCCATAACCCGACTTGGGGTTATGATCGACTTGGCCAGTTAAACTGATGAACTTTGACCCTGGGAAAAAGCACATCTACTTCTGATCCAGTTCTCTAAACGTTGCTATTTACAAATGTTTCAATGCAACTGTGTCAATGGTTTGGATTTGGTGCAAGCCGGCCTCAACATAAAATTCACTCAAAATTCGACCTTGACTCGATAGGGTCAAGTCAAGTAGTAAGCCCTCAATTAATAAGTGTTTAAGTCATTTTAGAGCAATGTTTTAAAATGATTGTTGGTCAGACTGCTTGGCCCCGAAACCAGTTAGGTAACTACCTATGTTTTACACTTGAATAATTTTTTATTAAAAAAAATTATTGATTTGGTCAGAGAACTGTTAATACTAACAATTGAACCACTAAATGGCCATTTAACCGAATAAATGATTTTTTTTTTCAAAATTTTAAATGTTTCGGGCTAACCCATTCAAATCAGACGATCGAACCACTAACTGAAAACCAAACACCGAAGTGGTTTGGTCTTTAAATCGGATTTTAAACCCTTGTTTTCTACTTGTCATGGACCCAGCCTATCTCGTGACTCGATTTGGATCGACCTCATATGGTCATATTATAAATAATCGTTAACCAATGACCCATACCATCTGACCTGTTTGATGGGTTTTTTGTTTTTGTATTATTTTAATTTTCAATGACATCACAAATTGACACATTAACTTAGATGGTTGAAACACTAACTAGGGTGTTCATGCAGTCAGTTCAAATCGGTTTGGTTAAAATGAAACCTAACTCACATTTCAATTAGGCCATTTTCATGAACCAAACCAAAATCAAATTAAATTGGTTTTATGAATCAAATCAATTTAAACCAAGGTTTAAAATATCGATACAGGCCAATACGCCGTAGATACACCAATAGAGACGTATTGGCCTGTATCATGGCTCGCTTTTATTTGTTAAGTTTTTCTTTTGCAACTGGTACAGAGGGGTCGGTTTAAGACCCTTTTACCCCTTGAACCAGCTCAGACTCCAAAACACCTTCTGTAAGGATGTATCAGAAAGCCCCTGATATGATAAGTATCAGTCGATGAGGCTTGATATGTGTCAAATTTTAAACCTTAATTTAAACCAAATAGAGAATCAAATAAACCCACTCAAATTAGCTTATTTTGCTTTGGTTCAATTTCATTTCCGATTTATAAACCGAATTTGAACGCCCCTTACTAACCCCATGACCTAGACTAGAGGAGAAAACAGTTGAACCTCCAAGACAGGTTTTAAAACCATTTTAGAGTAAAAAACTCAAAATTTTATCTACTAAAAAGCTCGATTTTTAATGCAGCAAAAAAGGTCAAAGTTTAGAATTTCATATTTATTATTAACTTGTTAGAATCTAGTAATTGTATGCTTGTTAAGAACAAATATTTTTGGCTATAAACTATCTTTGAACAACCAAATATAAAACTAATTAACTGATCATCTATCCACTTTCCTCTCTCCACCTCCATCATTTTTGTTTTGAAATTTCATTTTTAATTATTTTACCCCTTAATGCAATCAAAATTAACTAGTGTTTGATAAAGAAACAACTACTAGCCGTTGGATGCAATTTGGGTTTATCAAAATTAATATGCCCTCTTCGCACCAAAAAAGGAAAAAAAAAAAGATAATATGCCCTCTAAAAAGTAAAAACTCACGTTGTTTGATAGGATGTATTGGGGTTGCTTCAATTCATTAAGGGCTCGTGGAGAGAGTTAATGGGATTTTGGTTTCTATTGATTGAGATACATATATTCTTTTTTCATTTCAGATTTATGTGGAGTCTATGGAAAATTCATCTGGGTAAGTGATACCTTTGTCTCAGGTAGGTAACTCTCCTACTTGGGGAAAAATTGTCATCACTTTGATGGGACAAATTTGCTCCTTCCAATAATGATTTTTTATGGTTGAAATGGTCATTATCTTATTTACATGGAAAATAAAAGAACATGGGTGACTGTACTTACCCGGATAAATAGTTTCACAGAAAACAGTGGGACCTAAAAATGCTAGTTTTTTTTTATTGGTATTTCATTAAGGTTGCATTTATTTGCGATACAAACACAAAACCGGTACATTTATGTACTCCGGTTCAGGCTTGAGGAAAAAACAACCAAATTCACCAGAATACACAACAAACACTACCAAACAACCTGACCATTAATACCCACAAACAGTATTGAATAGCTTCGGTAAATTATTGGGTTTTGGACCAACCCAATTAAATCTCAAACCCAAGCAAACCACGAGTAGTCCCAACATGAGCAACTAATAATTCAGATGGAAACTGGGTTAGGTGGTATGTAGGGGTGCAACATTTTTTTGTTAGAGTTGGGATTTCGTCAAAATTTCAATGGGCCCAATGCAAAGTCCGAATCCAAAACAGTGTAAACTGTTAACTCGGGCCACCTGACTTGCACCTCTAGTGGTAGGGGTGAACATGATATAAGGACTATAGCCCAGGCCAGAACCTATTTGGGCCGAAGGTTCAAAGTATCAATACACCTTATGCACAAGCCTATGCATATCGGGTATTTTGGCTGAATGGAAATACACACACATATATATATACTTTTATATTTTCAAGGGAACTAAAATAAATGTAATTTAACATTTAAAAATATAAGTTCTTGAAAAAAAAAACCTTAAAACATGTCTATCAATAAACTACTGATATCAGTGGCGGAGCCAGGAATTTTCTTTAGAGGGGGCCAAGTTGAACAAGAAAATAAGATAAAGAGCAGAAGAAGTAGGGTATAGGGAAAAATGCATGGTTTGAGAAAGATTGAATCTATTACATATTTTTAAAGGAAAAAACAAACAATTTCATTTTTTTTTTGTAGCTTTGGAGGTTGGAGGAGAGTTAGAGTATGATCCTTTACATTTTAATTCAAGTTTGGGTGGGGGTGGGGGGCAAGGATGCAGTTTATTACATTTTTACCCAACCTCCCATTAGTATTCTATATAAATAATGATTTAACAAAATGTTTTGTGGGGCCAAGGACCCACCCCACCAGTATACTTGGCTCCGCCCCTGAATGATATGATATTATAACCTAATACAGGGTATATCATATCAAAATTTTAAATCTTGGCTGGATCAAACCTGATTCCCGGACTATGACTTTTATGCATAAAATGTTAAATATATGATATTTTTAAAGGATTTTACTATGACACTAGAAAAATTTGTAAATCAATCAACTGGTAACGTATGAGGTGATATTTATCAAATTGGGAGGGGGTTTGATATTTATCAAAATGTCAAAACTCTTATGGATGTAGATGTAAATTTGGTTAAAAAGTACAAATTAAAACTTGGTTAAATTTTGTACGTGTCTGTTGTGATAGGAATAGATACAAGAAATTCATCTTGTTTATATTGACCAACTTTGAGCAAAGTTTTCTATTAAAAGCAACCTGTGCTCCCATTTTGAATGGAAATATCAAAAACCTGCAAAAACAAGCCGGAGACAAATTCACTTGGGTTCTGCATTTGTAATTTTGTATTCTTATCAAACGTAAGAAGCAAATACAGATTTGACAGTTGAAAATATACGACATCAGCTTTGAATCTTATAAGACGATAGAACACTCTTCTCAAGATTCAGTTGAGATTATCAGGCCCAAGCCAAGGCATTGTTGTAACTTGTAAACCCAAAATTTCAATTGGGTAGTTCCCCATTTGGTGGCTCCAGCATGTATTGCACCCAGGAGCCCATTGTAGCGACTCATTTTTCATCTTATGTACGTTGTGAGTAGGGGTAGAGCAAATAGGTAGGTTTTACCTAGAATCAAATGTAATTAACCTCTGACCGGTCTTGAACTGATCCTACTCAATTTGTTAAAGGGTAGGGTCTGATTCTAAATTCTTGAAACCAATCCCCACTCAGGCCCATTCCAAGGTTTAAGGGTTTATCCTATCTGAATCAACTCAATGAACTGCCTTGGTTGGCCTGGGTGGAACTGGTCTTGGAATCGAATTTGCTTTAAAATAAATCACAAAATACTTTAGAGGATATGAAGATTTTAAACCCAACCACTCATGGTTACAAAGGCCATGACTTAGTTAAGTGATTTGATCATTTGTTTTCATTTTAATATTTGAATGTGTGTGTAATAGTGATTTAATCATGTATGGGCTTGAAACCGAATATAGGGAACTACACAAAGGGGTACCTTGGCCCCAAGAATCAGAAAAGCAAATAAACCTAAGGTCTTACGGGATCTGAATGTGTATAATAAGTAATGTAAAAGTTAATATTTACAAATTTAAATTATAGTGATAAGTTTTGAACCATACATTAATATATCATGACAATCTACATATTAAATTACTCAAATTCATCAATTAAGATAATGTAAGTTTTAAATTATATATTATATTATTGAATATCCAGATTTTAAAGAAAACATTTCATTTTTTAAGGGGGAAAATAAAGAAAGAACAAGTT